CGCAAAAATTAGATATACAGAGAAATTATCTTTTTTTTTTTTTTTCATGAACTCTACTTTTTTTTTTGGAGAGATTAGATTTTTGCTATAGGGCCTGTGCGCTCACCAGAAAAACAGAGAGAGACAGAGAGACAGAAAGCAAGAAATCACCTCCCAGGGGGGATGGCCACGCTGCAATCTCTTCTCCTCCATTCTCCTCTCGGGACCTTGGGCATGTACGCACATGCGCCTGGCATGAGTTTAAGCCACCAGGTCTGGGACTTGAGCTGAGGTCAGCTACATGGGAGTTCAGCGACATAGCCGTTACGCTAACTGCTGGTCCCTGAACTCTACTTTTGAGGAGAAAATAAAGTGATTTTGCAAATAGAAGCTTACATCAGGGACATAGTCCACAAGCTATTTTTCAGGAAAGGGCTCTTTAAAAAAAAAAAGCTCAGTTTCGGAAATCCAAGCAGCTGGAGGGGAACCATGGTCAACTGTGAACCCACCTTCATTGCCATCAAGCCCGATGGGGTACAGCAGGGCCTTGTGGGAGAGATCATCAAGCGTTTTGAGCAGAAGGGATTCCTCCTTGTTGATATGAAATTCATGCATGCTTCTGAAGATCTTCTCAAGGAACACTACATTGACCTAAAGGACCGTCCATTCTTTGCTGGCCTGGTAAAATACATGCTTTCAGGACTGGTGGTTGCCATGGTCTGGGAGGGGCTGAAAGTTGTGAAGACAGGCCAAGTGATGCTCGGGGAGACCAACCCTGCGGATTCCAAACCTGGGACCATCCGAGGGGACTTTTGCATCCAAGTTGGCAGGGACATTATTCATGGCAGTGATTCTGTGGAGAGTGCAGAAAAGGAGATCGCCTTGTGGTTTCAGCCTGAGGAACTGGTGGATTACAAGAACTGTGCTCAAGACTGGATCTATGAGTGATGGGAGCTTTGCCCTCCCCTCCTTACGATGGGCAGAGGACTGGGCTGTAGCAAACCTAGTTATTCCTGGAACATCCTTATATTCTGGAGGGAAGCTCTTGGAGCTGTGAGTGCTCCCTATACAGTGTTATGTGCTACCATCAGATTTAAGATGTTTCTTCCCAGTGGAGGATTCGCTGAGTTAGTTACTTTGCAGTGCTGTATTTCTTGGTGTTATTTTCTCCTTTTTAGGTACTCTGGATAACCTGAGTTAATAAAGAGTGTAAAGACACTAAAAAAAAAAAAAAGTTCAATTTCTTGCTTCCCTCATGTCCATCTCAGCTGACTTTGCCAGACTGTAAGTTTGTGAATGGTACAGAATAGAAACACATTAAATGTCTGTAGGGTAATGTACTTGATTTTTTATTTAAGAGAGATTTTTGCTATGGGGAACATGTGCTTACTGGACATTCAGAGACAGAGGGGCACAAAGTGAGAAACCACACCCCAGAGGGATGGCCATGCCACAATCTCTTCTCCTTTTGGGACCTTGGGCATGCATGCACAAGCACCTGGTGAGAGTTTTAAGTTGCCGGATCTGGGTCTTAAATTACAGTCAACCACATGGGAGTCTAGTTATGTAACCATTATGCCATGTGCTGATCCCTGTCCTTAATTATTAAGAAGTGATGGTAACCATAACAATGTTACCTGCAGATCTTGAATAATGGCAAATTAAATAATGCTCAGTTGTCTGAATGACATATGACATATGACTGAATGACTATGTCATTTTTATTATATATATTTAAGATGTATGTGATATTTTGATATACATGGTGAAATTGTTACTATAGGCAAGCAAATTAACATGTTAGTCTCCTCTTATAATTACCTTTTGTGTGTAAGTGTGTGGTAATAGTAACTGAAATCTATCCTTTTATCACATTTCCAGTATATTAACACAGTATTTAACTATAGTCATCATGCTGTATATTAGCTCTCTCAAATGAATATATAATTTATTTATTGAACTCTTACTATGTGCTGTCTTAAAGCGTGTTTTATGTATAAACTCATATATATATAATTTAATGTATAACATAAGTGCTTACATATAGCATACTTAATATTGTACACTATACATATACTTTGATATATATGGAAACTCTCTGCAACAAATTGATGCTATTCTTGAGAGTAAGGATTATGTGTTAGAGTTCTTCAGTTTTTCCTTCCACATGCTTGGCAAATTGCTACTCACACAGTTGTCACTCAATAAAGACTTGTTAAATCAAAATTAAGATGCTCTTTTGTGACTTCACATTGTTTCAGTACACTATAGGGCAAATAGTTCCACGAGGCTAATAGAATTTTGAATAACTCAGACAAGTGGCTAACATAGCAATAGTCTAATAAACATAGCTTTCCCTCTAATTTATTAAACTGCTGTAGATGTACTATCAATTTATCAACAAGAGAAATGCTTTGTACTAGCTGGGGTGGGAGGATAAGTAAACTTGCACAAATTTGTAGTCCACCTGAGCAGCTCAGATTAGAATACATGAACATGAGAACTGTTTCATACCGCATCGCATGGTATCATCTAATGTACGAGTTCAGAGTAAAAAAGATACTAGAAAAGAGAGTGAAAATAGCAAAGCAGTTAGGAACTATGCCTTTCAGTCAGATAAATAAGACCTGAATCTGGGCTTTGTTACTTTTCAGCTGTGTATCTTAGGACAGGTTACTTAGCTATTCTGAGCCTTTTGCATTTCTGAAATGGGGTCCTACCTTCCCTAATGGAGTCATGACAATTAAATAAGGTCATGCATGTTTAGCACTTAGGATGTTATCTTACATGAGGTAAACAACCAGTTGGGTTAACTTCGAAAAGTCTTAAAGGGTAAATGATATTTTAGTTGAATTTTAGAGGATTCAGCTTTGGTGAGAAGGAAGGATCAAGGTCATCTTAGGTAAAGGAAGAGCATGAGCAAGAAAGGGTAGGAAAGAGCATTGCACGTGTGGGCAAGAATGAAGAATCCTGCCAGAACAAGGTGGAAAGAGAACGTTGTCAGCAGTACAAAATTAAATTTGGTCTGTAAAACGAGTTCGTATATAGAGTTGGTGCATGTCCGAGGTGTCTCTACAGGAAATGACATGTGAGGGGGAGGATCCTAATTAATACACGCTCTGTCTATAGCTCCCTAATGTAAGTTCTGGATGGTATATTACTGTGACTGGCATACTTCTTTTTTTTTTTTTTAAGAATTATCTTATTTAACCATATTTATTTATTTCAATGTTACCAGAGAGGGACAGAGCAAGAGAGAGAGAGAGAGATCAAGAGAGAGAGCAAGAGAGAGAGAGAGCATGCTGCCTTGTCTTGAACCACAGTTGTCTGTGTGGGAGTCCAGCACCCTTAACTACTGCACCACCTACTGACCCCTCAACATACTTCTTAAATAAGCCTTGTCTGCAGCACTTGATATGCTGTGGTGACTAGTATGAGAAATTATTTTTTTAAATACATAAATCAATGAGTTTGCATGCTGACAATCCACTTTGCTCTCTGTTGCACAGGTCTGATGTGTCTTATATGTGTATATAGATAGTATCTGTCTACAAATGAGGAGGTTTATATATACTCTTAATAAAGAGTATATCTCAGTAAATCAATAGAAATTTTACAATTAAAGAAACATGAAGTGAATTCTCTATAGACTATATAATTCTAAACTTTGTCTTCCATTATGGTACTAAATTCTTTGATATCAAAAATAGTATTTTCTGCCAAGAAAATACTCTGAAATGTCATATTTTAACAACAGAATTAATTTTAAGCATATTGTTTAGGACTACATCAAAACTTGTATCCAAGTTTTAAATAAGAAAATTTCGTTTTGACAATTTAAGTGTCCATTTAGTAAATAAAAACCATCAGGCAGTAACTTGAGCCTTCAAATGACTCAAGGTG